GTGGCATCACAGCTCACAACAACCTCCAACTCCTGGGCTCAGGCGAGTCTTCTGCCTCTGCCTCCCAAGTAGCTGAGATCACAGGTGCCTGCCACAGTGCCTGGCTATTTTTGGTTGCAGCCGTCATTGTTGTTTGGTGGGCCCAGGCTGGATTTGAACCCGCCACCTTAGTTGTATGTGGCTGGCGCCTTAGCTGCTTGAGGCACAGGCGCTGAGCTGGTCGTTTTGATTTTAATAACTTTAATTTTAAGGAGCTGTTATAAAATAGGAATACTGTATTTCTAAGTCCCATTTGCTGCCTTACTTTGTACAGTATTCGAGTCTATAAAATTTTAGTATAATATAGCAATTTGATTACTTCCTTGGAATTCATTTTAATGGTATGCTTTCTCTGGGATAGCCAGATATATAAAACACAGGTATCTAGCTAGCATTGATGACTTCTTTCATTGTGAAGTTAGTGTTTTGGTTAAGACTTGTTTTAGGCTGGGTGCTGTGGCTTATGCTTGTACTTCTAGCATTCTGGGTGGCCACGGAGGGAGGATCCCTTGAGATTAGGAGTTTGAGACCAGCCTGAGTAAGAGCGAGACCCTATCTCTACTAAAAACTGAAAAATTAGCCCGGCGTCATGGCAGGTACCTGTAGTTCCAGCTACTTGGGAAGCTAAGGCAGGAGGATGGCTTGAACCCAGGAGTGTGAGGTTGCTTGTGAGCTATAATGCTATGGCACTGTAGCCTGGGCAACAAAATGGGACACTCTCTGTCTGTCTGTCTGTCTGTCTCTCAAAAAAAAATTTTGTTTTGGTTATATCAGAGCTGCTTGACTACTACTGCATACCAATAGTGATTTCCTGGTTAATTTTCCGAGAATTATGATAATCAGGTATTATTAATATTTCATTTGCTCTATATTCTTGGCTTCCCTTCTGGTGCTACCTCCTTGATGTCTAAATTAAGAACAAGTAAACTTAGAGACCTGAGTATGCTTCCAGTGAAAATAAGCCATGCTATTCTATTAAGTATGACTGGTATGCCTAAGTTATAGGCACAAAAGAAGATAAATAGGAAAAGAAAAAGGGAGCAAATATTAGTGCAGGGAAGAATTGGGGAAAAGGTTATAAAAGAGAACGTCGGAAGTCGGAGGGGGTTGATTAAAATGTCTGATTACTCATTCCTTTATTTCCTGTAGCATCTTTCTGTGGCTCTTAGTGAAATTAAGGCCTGAATAAATGTTTAGTTTCGGTTTATGTTTTTGTTATTTTTTTCTTCTTGATACTTGTTTTCTCAGTTTATTAATGACCACAAAATTGAAAATGGCGAACTTTTATTTTATTTCAGGGAATGCAGCCTCATCTCCAGGCTTTGTTGTCGCTGTATAAGTCTTTTGCTCCTACCCTGATTTCTGTATCTTTGCCTGTAAGAAGGAAGGTAAGGGAGTAAGGAGAGATAAGCCATTGAGATTGAAATGTTATCTTTGGTGAAGTTAGCTTAAAGATTTGGATTAAAGTGTTTACAGCCTACTATTTTAAGATCTAGTATTGTGGCATTATTTGGGGAAACTTTTGGGGGGATTGGCACTTCGTACTGATCCCATTTGAAATGGTGTATTTAAGAGATTTTTTTTTTTTTTTTGAGACAGAGCCTCAAGCTGTCCCCCTGGGTAGAGTGCCGTGGCATTACAGCTCACAGCAACCTCCAACTCCCGGGCTCAAGCG